AAAGTTTTCCCCTGCAGTAATATTATAATATGCTAGTATGCATTGTATACTAGCACATTATGTGAAAACCTACCTTAAAACGAAGCCCTCCAGCTGCACGCTGTCACCACTGACAGGGCTTCCAATCTTCACCTGTTCTTTCCGGGTTCCCGGGCTGCAGCTGCTTGAATGGCTGAGCCGAACATGACATCACTACCGCACATGCACGCTGGAGTTTCAGCCACGGCACCCAGCTTTGAAGGAACAGCACGGGTATGCCGTTCCTTCAGAGTGCATGCACTGGTGTTGTCACCAGCTGCAGCTCTGTAGCACATCTCCTAAACGGTGCAGGTTTAGGAGAAATTAATTTTACCTACAGATAAGCTTACCTGTATGTAAAAATAGAAATGAGAGTTTACTACCACTTTAAGGAGCAATGTAAAGGATTGATTCCAGCAAGGTGACTGGTACATGGATGTGCACATGTGCATGGCGTTGCTTACAGAATTGGACATAGGCATGCACATACAATTGCATGTGCGAGTGTGTCTATGGTTCCTTTTGGAGCCAGATGGGCTCTTTAAAGGATGTTCTGGCTCTCTGTCCATACTGACTGGTCTTCAGCCTTTTCCAGAGTGTATCCTGTATCTGTAATTTCCATGAATGACCTAGCTTGTTACTGACTTGATCCTGGACTCTGCTTGAACCTCTGCCCACCTCCTCTTGACCTTGGCTCAGTTCCTGGACAGGTTTTAACCTACATTTATGTAGCTTGTAGCTCCCCTGCTACTGGCCTCGGCTGCCGCTGACTTTGCTCCTGCCTGTCTTGGCTTCTTTCTACTTCTGAGTGCCTGCTTCGGCTGTCCCTCATATTAGCCTGCTGAAAGTTTTGACACGCCACGCATTAAGAACCTGTGGTACATGCAAAGTGCCCCCTTAACCTTGGCAGGTCCAGCTTACATCACCTCTGCTTCTGGCCCCTGATGTCCTGCTTGACCTCTCTAGCCTGCATCTTCTGTTGCAAGTCCTGCTATCAACACCTGTCAGAACCCATGTTCCTCCTGTCCCTTGCACCATCTCTTCCATCTTCAGTGAGACCTGAGTTGGAGATAAAAGAGAGGCCAACCTTGCCAATTCAGTCTCCTACCAGGTAACTGACACTCTGCCTCAGTATCGTCTCCCCAAAGAGGCCCTTCAGGTGTGACAATCTGCTCTACAATGGCCTGTAACTCTTCAGGTAGTGTCATCACCAGTTTGTGGGCATCATCCTCTAAAGAGTTAATAGCTAGCTCTACCACTTGTTGGGTTAGGCCCTGGTACAGACGCACAGCACTCTCCAGCCTTTCCTCCCATTATAAACACTGTATTGGGAGAGCACCATTTAGGAAATACAGTTGCAAGAAAAAGTATGTGAACCTCTTAGGATTACGTGGAGTTTTGCATGAATTGGGCATAAAATGTGCTCTGAACGTCATCTAAGTCACAACAATAGAAGAACACAGTCTGCTGAACATAATACTATACAAACATTAGATGTTGCCATGGTTTAGTTGCGCATAACATGTAAACATTCACAGTGCAGGGAGGAAAAAGTTTGTGAACCTTTGGACTTAATAACTGGTTGACCCTCCTTTGGCAGCAATAACCTCAACCAAACGTTTCCTGTAGTTGCAGATCAGACCTGCACAATGATCTGGAGTAATTTTGGACCACTCCTCTTCAGGGTAGCAATATTCTTGGGATGTCTGGTGTGAATCGCTCTCTTAAGGTCATGCCACGGCATTTCAATGGGGTTGAGGTCAGGACTCTGCCTGGGCCACTCCAGAAGGCGTATTCTGTGCTGTTGCAGCCATTGTTTTGTTGAATTACTTGTATGCTTTGGTTCATTGTCCTGTTGCATCACCCATCCTCTGCAAAGCTTCAGTTGGCGGACAGATGGTCGTACGTTTTCCTGCAAAATTTCTTGATAAACTCTGGAATTCATTTTCCCATCAATGACAACAATCCGTCCAGGCCCTGAGGCAGCAAAGCAGCCCCAAACCATGATGCTCCCTCTGCCATGTTTTACAGTGGGGATGAGGTTTTGATGTTGTTGTGCTGTGCCTTTGCTGTGTTCTTCCCAAACAACTCAATCTTGGTTTCATCTATCCACAGTATATTTTGCCAGTAGTGCTGTGGAACATCCAGGTGCTCTTTTGCAAACTTCAAACGTGCTGCAATATTCTTTTTGGACAGCAATGGCTTCCTCCGTGGTGTCCTCCCATGTACTCCATTCTTGTTTAATGTTTTCCTTATTGTAGATGTGTCAACAAAAATGTTAGCATGTGCCAGAGATTTCTGTAGGACTTTAGCTGACACTCTGGGATTCTTCTTTACCTCATGCAGCATTCTGCGCTGTGCTCTTGCAGTCATTTTTACAGGACGACCACACCTAGGGAGAGTAGCAACAGTGCTAAACTTTCTCCATTTGTAGACAGTCTGTCTTACCGTGGACACATGAACATCAAGGCTTTTGGAGATACTTTTGTAACCCTTTCCAGCTTCATGCAAGTCAACAATTCTTGATCGTAGGTCTTCTGAGAGCTCTCTTTTTGCGAGGCATGGTTCACATCAGACAGTGCTTCTTGAAACCAGTATACCCAAAACAGGTGTGTGTTTTTTTTAAGGGCAGGACAGCTGTCAGCAACACATCCAATATCTTCACACTGAAGTCATTAAGCTAGGGCCTCACATACTTTTTCCTCCCTGCGCTGTGAATGTTTACATGTTATGTGCAATTAAACCATGGCAACATCTAATGTTTGTGTAGTATTATGTTCAGCAGACTGTGTTCTTCTATTGTTGTGACTTAGATGATGTTCAGAGCACATTTTATGCCCAATTCATGCAAAACTCCACGTAATCCTAAGGGGTTCACATACTTTTTCTTGCAACTGTATACTCAGATAATATGTATTCTGTACTTACTGCATAATGCCTTTTTCACTTACAACTTCAACCAAAACTTGTGAAGCTTACATGCTTCCTACCGTATACAGGTGAAACTCGAAAAATTAGAATATCGTGCAAAAGTTCATTTATTTCAGTAATGCAACTTAAAAGGTGAAACTAATATATGAGATAGACTCATTACATGCAAAGCAAGATAGTTCAAGACGTGATTTGTCATAATTGTGATGATTATGGCTTACAGCTCATGAAAACCCCAAATCCACAATCTCAGAAAATTAGAATATTGTGAAAAGGTGCAATATTCTAGGCTCAAAGTGTCCCACTCTAATAAGCTAATTAAGCCATAATACCTGCAAATGGTTCCTGAGCCTTTAAATGGTCTCTCAGTCTGGTTCAGTAGGAATCAAAATCATGGGAAAGACTGCTGACCTGACAGTTGTGCAGAAAACCATCATTGACACCCTCCATAAGGAGGGAAAGCCTCAAAAGGTAATTGCAAAAGAAGTTGGATGTTCCCAAAGTGCTGTATCAAAGCACATTAATAGAAAGTTATGTGGAAGGGAAAAGTGTGGAAGAAAAAGGTGCACAAGCAGCCGGGATGACTGTAGCCTGGAGAGGATTGTCAGGAAAAGGCCATTCAAAAGTGTTGGGAACTTTCACAAGGAGTGGACTGAGGCTGCAGTCAGTGCATCAAGAGCCACCACACACAGACGGATCCTGGATATGGGCTTCAAATGTCGTATTCCTCTTGTCAAGCCGCTCCTGAACAAACAACGTCAGAAGCGTATTACCTGGGCTAAAGAAAAACAGACCTGATCTGTTGCTCAGTAGTCCAAAGTCCTCTTTTCTGATGACAGCAACTTTTGCATCTCATTTGGAAACCAAGGACCCAGAGTGTGGAGGAAGAATGGAGAGGCACACACTGCAAGATGCTTGAAGTCCAGTGTGAAGTCTCCACAGTCTGTGTTGATTTGGGGAGTCATGTCATCTGCTGGTGTTGGTCCACTGTGCTTCATTAAGTCCAGGGTCAATGCAGCCATCTACCAGGAGATTTTGGAACACTTCATGCTTCCTTCCACAGATGAGCTTTATGGGGATGCTGACTTCATTTTCCAGCAGGACTTGGCACCTGCCCACACTGCCAAAAGCACCAAAACCTGGTTCAATGACCGTGGGATTACTGTGCTTGATTGGCCAGCAAACTCACCTGACCTGAACCCCATAGAGAATCTATGGGGCATTGCCAAGAGAAAAATGAGAGACATGAGACCGAACAATGCAGAAGAGCTGAAGGCCGCTATTGAAGCATCCTGGTCTTCCATAACACCTCAGCAGTGCCACAGGCTGATAGCTTCCATGCCACGCCGCATTGAGGCAGTAATTGCTGCAAAAGGGGCACAAACCAAGTACTGAGTACATATGCATGCTTATACTTTTCAGAGGTCTGATATTGTTCTATGTACAATCCTTGTTTTATTGATTACATGTAATATTCTAATTTTCAGAGATTGTGGATTTTGGGTTTTCACGAGCTGTAAGCCATAATCATCACAATGATGACAAATCACGGCTTGAACTATCTTGCTTTGCATGTAATAAGTCTATCTCATATATTAGTTTCACCTTTTAAGTTGCATTACTGAAATAAATGAACTTTTGCACGATATTCTAATTTTTTGAGTTTCACCTGTATACCATTGATGTGATTTTTCCATTATGCTTTAAATACAGTGTGTTCTCAGAAAGCAATAAAAGGCTGACATGTATTTCAAGAGACCATTCACATGCACCTTTACAGCTATTGTAACAATGAATTGGTGTGCCATTAAAAATGTTAATGAATCTAAACCTTCCCCACTCTCCTAGATAAAAGGGTTACATAAAAAAATATATATATTTTATGACAGGTGGACAAGTGAATAGCAGCTTCAGATCATGTAATTAATGCCAGCAACCAAAGCCTTGCCTTCTGGGCTCAAGAAATAGAGAAAATGCAAAGAGGGTTGTAGCATAACATTTATTATAAATTCAAAAATAATACACCATTTTGCCAATAGGTTGTAATTGGGATGTGGACTGCTTTTATAAACATTTGTGGCAGAATGGGTTGTTCTCAGGAGCTCAGTGAATTCAAGCGTGTTACTGTGATAGGTTGCCACCTGTGCAATAAGTCAATCCGTGAAATTTCCTTGCTACTAAATATTCCATGGTCAACTGTTAGTGGTATTATAACAAAGTGGAAGCAATTGGGAACAACAGCAACTCAGCCACCAAGTGGTAGGCCATGTAAAATGACAGAGTGGGGTCAACGCATGCTGAAGCACACAGTGTGCAGAAGTCGCCAACTGTCTGCAGAGTCAATAGCTAAAGACCTCCAAACTTTGTGTGGCCTTCAAATTAGCACAGCAGTGTATAGAGAGCATCATGGAATGGGTCTCCATTGCCGAGCAACTGCATCCAAGCCTTACATCAAGTGCAATGCAAAGAGTCGGATTCAGTGGTGTAAAGCATGCCGCCACTGGACTCTAGAGCAGCTGAGATGTGTTCTCTGGAGTGACAAACCACGCTTCTATGTCTGGCAATAAGATGGATGTATCTGGGTTTGGCACTTGCCAGGGGAAAGATGCTTGCCTGACTACATTGTGCCAAGTGTAAAGTTTGGTGGAGGGGGGATTATGGTGCGGGGTTATCAGGGGTTGGGCTTGGTCCTTCAGTTCCAGTGAAGGGAACTCTTACAGTATGTGTCAGTATGTGTCAAGACATTTTGAACAATTTCATGCTCCCAACTTTGTGGGAACAGTTTGGTGATGGTCCCTTCCTATTCCAACATGACTGCGCACCAGTGCACAAAGCAAGGTCCATAAGGACATGGATGAGCAAGTTTGGGGTGGAGGAACTTGATTGGCCTGACCTCAACCTGATAGAATACCTTTGGGATGAATTACAGTGGTGACTGCGAGCCAGGCCTTCTCATCTGACATCAGTGCCTGACCTGCCAACTGCGCTTCTGGAGGAAACATTCCCATAGACACTCCTAAACCTTGTGGACACCCTTCCCAGAAGAGTTGAAGCCGTTATAGCTGCAAAGGGTGGGCCAACTAAACATTGAACCCTACGGACTAAGACTGCGATGCCATTAGAGTTCATGTACAATACTTTTGGCAATATAGTGTATGTTGCAAACCCCTTTAGATTTTAGGTAATATAATACATACAGTATCTCACAGAAGTGAGTACACCCCTCACATTTTTTAAATGTTTGTTTACTCCGTTGTCTGTGCCCAGAATAAAGTGTGAAGTAATGCTGGGTTCATATGTATATATTTTTTTTTTGCGTTCAACCCAGAGGGGTGATAAAAAAAAAAAAACAGAAGTCGCCGTACTAACTGTGTTGATCTCCTCCCACTGAGCTATTGTGTTCTGACAGAGGGACTGCCAGGACACAGTGATCAGCACTCCCAGCAATTGGCGGCAAGAGCTGATCGGATGCTGGTTTTCTAGCATGCTCTTTTGAAAGAAGCTGGTCTTGAGACCATCTTTTGTTGGGCAGGAAGCTGTACACCTGGGCCCAAAATAGGAAGGTTTCTAGTTAATAAGGATTCATACTTCACAGGTAGCTTCTTATCACTGCTTGTCTAGTCGCGGCTTCTCCTAAGACAAAGGTGTCAAACTGGTGGCCCTCCAGCTGTTGCCAAACTACAAGTCCCATGAGGCATTGCAAGATTGACAATTACAAGCATGACGGCACTTGTAGTTTTGCAACAGCTGGAGGGCCGCCAGTTTGACACCCCTGTCCAAAGACATCACATACAATGCAGAACAAGCAGTCCTGCATTGTGTATGAGGCCTGCCCATCAGACTTGATATCCAGCTGTAGCTGAGGAGATACCATGAGGGGAGAGCAGCAAGATGGGTGCTAGTGTGAATGCTGGAGCTGTGGTTTGTGGAGAGTTCTCAGTAAAGCTGACCGATCTGCCTGGCAGCGTTCTGACAGACACCAGAGTACGGCTGCTACCCAAAGGGAGTCTGGCGCTGTGATATGATGGTGATACAGAACACCTGGGACTGGTATGTGGCAGATGCCAGTGGGTGAAGCTGCAGGTGTGGGGACAGTATGGTCACTATGTACATATAAATATATATATTTATTATGTGAGGGATTGGCTCAGTAGCAGATTGTGCTTGACCACCTGGATGGGTCAGAACACCGTGAAAGAGGCTCAGCACGACAGCAGGTACTTGGTGAATAAGGTTGTACTTTATTTACAAAGTCTGGTGAACACACGGTGCATAGATCAAAAAACAAATAAAAGCAGAAAATAAAAGCCTTGCCACACTGGGCTACTAACTACAAACACAGGTTTCCTATCTAGCCGTCTGAACACAGCCTACCGCTGCACAGACACAGGGGGTTCATAAAGTCCAAGATCACACAGATTATTTCTCACCACAGGATGGTTTGGTTGCTCCCCAGTCTGCCCTGCACAGTCAACTGGTTCCAGGTTGGAGCATTCTGTTTATGCAGCCTGGGAATTTTATAGAGCTCAGAGCCCTTAACTCACTACACCTGAACACATTAAATCATCAGTGAGCTAGACAGGCTCACTACACAGCACCAAAGGAGAATCAGTCAGTGTATAACATGAACCTGGGACAAATATACCTTCCATCCTGGACACATCCCTTAGTTCTACCTGACCTCCTGTCACATACCCCCCCCCTCGTTTCATCCTTGGGGTTGGAACACAGGTTGCTAAGCATGCGTGTACTCGGGACAGGGCATCTGCATTCCCCATTCTAACCCCGGGGCGATGTTTTATGACAAAACTAAATTCTTAAAGGGCCAGGAACCACCTATTCACTCGCCTATTGGTTTCTTTGTTTTGTGCCATCCATTTTAAGGGAGCATGATCTAGTTCAAACTGTCTTCCCAAGAGATAGTAGCAGAGAGAATCTAGAGCCCACTTTATTGCTAAGAACTCTTTCTCAATGGTGGCATAATTCTCTTCATGGGGCTTTAATTTTTGGCTGAGGTAAATGAGGGGGTGTTCTTCCCCCTTGAAAACCTAAGACAATACAGTTCCTAACCCAACATCTGAGGCATAGGTCTGGACCACAAAGTCCCTCGAAAAATCCGGGGAGTACAACACTGGCTGTTTGCTGAAGGCCCGTTTTAAGGCCTCAAAAGCTGCTTCTGCTTCAGGGGTCCATTTTGACCCTTTTGTCAAATTGGTCAGGGGAGCAGCCTGTGAAGCAAAATTAGGAATAAACCGCCTGTAATAACCCGCAATTCCTAAAAACGCTCTTACCGTCTTCTTGTTGGTGGGGCGTGGCCAGCTTTGTATAGCTTTAACTTTGTTGACCTGGGGCTTTATCAGACCTCTCCCAATGGTATATCCCAGATACTTAGCCTCTTCTAGCCCAATGGTACATTTGTTTGGATTGTCTGTAAACCCTGCTTTCCAGATAGTCCAATACTGCCTGGACTTTCGGAAAATGTGAGTCCCAGTCTTCACTATGGATGACCACATCATCCAAGTATGCTGCAGCATAGGTTCTTTGGGGCCGGAGGGACTTATCCATCATCCGTTGAAATGTGGCAGGAGCATTCTGCAACCCAAACGGCATCCTCTAATACTGGAAAGAACCCTCTGGAGTTACAAAAGCAGTCTTTTCCTTGGCTGATTCCGAAAGAGGAATCTGACAATACCCTTTGGTCAGGTCCAGTGTTGTCATATACCGGGCTGTCCCTAGACAATCAATCAGCTCATCTATACGGGGCATGGGATAGGTGTCAAACATAGTGACTTTATTCAGTTGACGAAAGTCATTACAAAACTGCCAACTTCCATCTGGTTTGGGCACTAGCACAATAGGACTGGACCAGTCACTGTTTGACTCCTCTATAACCCCCAGTTCAAGCATATTTTTTATTTCTTGGCGAATTGCCTCTTGCCGAGCTTCTGGAATACGATAGGGTTTTAACTTGACCCTTTCCCCTGGGGAGGTAATAATGTCATGCTCAATCCCGGACACCCACCCAGGGAATGCTGAGAATTTTTCTTTGTTGCGGAGCAGAAACTCTCTAGCTTCCTGTTGCTGCATTTTTGATAGTCTCCGCTACCCCTACCTCTGGGATTTCCAAGGTAGGCAGAGCAGGAATCGGGGAAGTTTCAGTGACCAAGGATTCCCTATCCTTCCAGGGTTTTAACAAATTCACATGGTACACTTGCTCAGGTTTTCGTCTTCTTGGTTGGCTAATTTTATAATTCACGTCCCCCATTTTTTCTAACACTTCATATGGGCCCTGCCATTTGGCCAGGAATTTGCTTTCTACCATGGGGACCAACACCAACACCCTATCACCAGGTGAAAAAGAACGGATCCGAGCTCCACGATTGTAAATTCTTTGTTGAGCCAACTGGGCTTGAGCCATATGTTCCTTCACAATAGGCATTACTTGTGTAATTCTGTCTTGCATTTGGGCCACATGTTCAATGACACTTCTATGAGGGGAACTCTCACTCTCCCATGTTTCCCTCGCAATGTCCAATAGCCCCCATGGGTGTCTCCCATACAACAGCTCAAAGGGAGAGAACCATGTGGATGATTGGGGAACCTCTCGGATTGCAAACATTAAATAAATACGGTAGGTAGTAGACAATCCCAATTTTTCCCATCTTTATCAACCACCTTCTTCAGCATTTGTTTTAACGTTTTGTTAAACCTTTCTACTAACCCATCTGTCTGAGGGTGATACACTGAAGTACGGAGTTGTCACCTTCAGAAGTTTACAAAGTTCTTTAGTTAAGCCTCGACATAAACGGGGTGCCCTGATCAGTTAGTACCTCCTTGGGAAGGCCTACACGGCTGAAGACCTGAAATAACTCTTTGGCAATGGTTTTAGCAGAGGTATTTTGGAGAGGAATTGCCTCTGGGTAACGAGTGGCATAGTCCATTATCACCAAGATGTGTTGGTGCCCTCTAGTAGACTTTAGCAAAGGGCCAACCAAATCCATGGCGATTCTTTCAAAAAGGGACTTCAATGATGGACAGAGGAACCAAAGGACTGCGAAAATGTGGCATTGGGGCTGAAATCTGACACACTGGACAGGAAGAGCAGTACATTTCCACTTCCTTATTGACCCCAGGCAGCACGTTTGACAATTTGGTTCTGATTATATTAGTCCACATTCACAGAGCAGCACAGGGTTAAGCCATGGGGCTCCATCTAGCCTAACAATGGAATGGTTTAGATCAAAGCATATTCATGTGTTAGAATGGCTAAGTCAAAGTCCAGACCTTATTGAGAATCTGTGGCAAGACTTGAAAATTGCTGTTCACAGATGCTCTCCATGCATTCTGACAGAACTTGAGCTATTTTGCAAAAAAGAATGGGCAAAAAGATGCGCTAAGCTGGTAGAGACATCCCCAAAAAGACTTG